CGGGACCAGCCGCCCCGGGCCCCCCGGTGGGATTGGCGCCGGGCTGGTGCCAACGTCTTCCCTTTCCTCCCTAGCCCAGGTGGGGAAGACGTCTCTGATCATGGCTCTGGTGGGCGAGGAGTTCCCTGAAGAGGTGAGCGTGAGGCGAGAGGGACCCCTGGGCGCCTCGCCGGGTGCCCTGCCAGGCAGCGGCGGGATGGCTCTGTCCCCAGTGGCACTGGCCCGAGGTGGGGGTGTCTGGGGGTGCGTGCAGCTCCCCAGGGACTGGTGACAGCCACGGCGCTGGTTTGGGTGAGCTTAAGCCTGCGAGGACCTCGTGGAACTCCAGAAACGGTGTTTTCTCCATTTTGTGCTCTAATCCCTGTACTGGAGCCCTGTTCCCCCTGGGGAGGGGCATAGGTACCTCCCAGGGCCCTGCTCCCCGCTGCTGCGGGGTCTCTGTGTCTGCCAGCACAGCAGGCTCTGGGGCTCAGCCTTGCCTGCTGCAGCGGGGCCCTTTGCTCCCCAGCTCTGGCCTTGCTGTGGCAGCACGGGCACAGAGCCCTTGGAAGGAGCTGAGCTGCGTTCCCTGCCCCTCTGTGCCTGTCTGGAGAAGGGCCTGGGTACTTTGGGCTGGGCCATCTGTGAGGAGCAGCATCCAGCCCACAGCAGCACCCATCCAGTCTGTGCTCTCCAGCTCGGTGGTTCACTGTCCCATCGCAGTTTGGATGGGGAAACAGGGTCGGTCTGGCCATCAGGTGGCTTCTCCCACTGCCCATGAGCAGATGGTGCCCTCTGCAACATTTGCGCTGGGAAACATCAGCTCTGGGGGCTTGGGGGAGGACCAGCTCCGCGCACCTTCCCATGCTCTCACAGCAAAGCCTGTGCAATCAGCTTAGCGCTTCTCCCAGCTGACAAGAGGTCAGGCTGGAGAGCTGGGGGAGTGCTGAGGGCTTATCTCCGGAGCTGTGGCGGGGGCAGCAGCAGTGGCCTGTCTGAAAGCCAGCTTCCCTGGAGGGACTCGGTGCTGTCAGCTGCATCTGAAGGGAGGGCTTGGGGCCAGGAGGCGGTCGGAGGTTCCATTGCAGGGACACTGTCTGTGCGAGGGCTGAACTGTAGTGAGCCAAGCCGCAGCTGTGGCCCGGTGGGCCAAGAGCGATCTGTGGTCTGGAGCTCATCCCACCCTGGCAGGGAGGGCGCTGGGCAGGGGCCACCTGGGGACCTGAAGTCCCTTGTCACCTGTTCTCTTGATTGCGTTCGTCACAGCTGGCTGGAAAAGATTCTGTTGGCTTTGCAGGTGCCTCCTCGTGCAGAGGAGATCACGATCCCAGCTGACGTCACTCCCGAGAAGGTCCCCACACACATCGTGGACTACTCAGGTAGGGCCCTGTCCCTCCTCGCTCCCTGCTGGCCTCGCGTCTCCCCTTCTCTGCCCGGCTGAGGGGAGTGGGACGGGGTCCCTACTGCTGGGAGTGATTGGTGATGTCTCTCTTTC